GTTACGGCGATAAGAGGGTCAGATCCACATGCCGAGGCACGCTCGGGATGCAGCTGCTTAAGATCCAAGCAGGTGAAACGGTGTGGGTAGGGGTTGCGTGGGTGAAGAAGGGGTGGCACCGCTGGCGGTTCCGCATGCATGAAAATCACTGCTTGCTGCTGGACTCGTAACTCAGCGGACAAGAATTTCAGTGTCGGTACCTGGCACTCTAAAGGCTTTTCTAAATCTTTGATAGAAGTCATGTATTATTTGCATTGCTCCCCCTCTGCGCAGCAAATCGCGGCGGCTGGCAGGCTGCGCTGGGGGTGTCTCTGCCATCCTTCCTCCAAGGGCTCTCCGAGCTCACCGAGCCTCAGCAGAGGCTCCGGTGGGATGCAGAGGAGGGCTGCAGAGACTGTCACGGACTAACAGGCTTCTGTCTTCTCCCGACAGCTCCCAGAGGCTGGGAAGGGAGGCTGGTGGCAGCATTTTGTGCTGGACCAGCCCAGGGACACCAGCCCAGGGACACCAGCCCAGGCAGAGGGCGAGAACATGCCCACCCAGGGCTGGCTGGAGCCCCCCATGCTGCAGCACATCAGGTGGGCTGCTCCTGGGCCAGACACCACACACAGCAAAACAGCTGGAGCGGTTTCATTTGTTTTCTTTCAAAGAGTATTAAGAAATGTGTATGAGGCGAGTCTCTCTTTCAGGTTAAAACTCATCCAAGTGGGCGCCTAGAGTGAATTGTGCAGAGGCCAAATCTGAAAATTGGTTTTGTTGCAAAAAATGCTGACAACTGTCCTTAGTGACAGCACCTCAAATAATGCTAATATCATCAGTCAGCTCGGCCACGAGGGACTGCACAGTCCCCGGGGGAAAGGCATGGCATGGGGACGAGGGGAGGGTCACAAATGTCACAGAGACATTTGTAGTGCTTTGCTCCGGGCTACTTCATGCCGGAGCTGGCCCCGGGATATTTAAACACAGCAAGAGGACGGCAGCCTTGTCCAAGAGCCTCAGCGCTCACCACCTTACCCAGCATCAGCAGGGAGAGCCAAAACCAGGACCAGGACTCCAAGGCTAACGAGAGAGAGTGACCCCGTCCCCAGGAGCCTCAGCGCCATGGCCTCAGCACGCAGTGACTGGCAAGCAAGCCTCCAAAACCTGCCAGGGTGGGCACAGAGGGGAAGGAGAGAAAAGAGATTTTATTTACTAGGAGAAAAGCAATCTGTTTAATTCAGTTTTTTCCCAGCAGTGTGTCCATTAGCCAGCAGTCAGAGTTTCTGGGGTCCTGTATTTGAAGTTCCAGAGTTCCCCCCCCAGGGACCAAGAGGCAGCAGCATCCCCTGCAGCACTACTGGCCCTGGGGAAGTCACAGCATGGGGTCAGAGCCAAGCATGTGCACACACATGTACGTATGTATGTACATCATGTGTTCACGGCACATCCAGCTCCCCAGGTGATTCAGCACCTTCCAGCAAGTGTACAGTTCCACTTCCCAAATGACCACACTGGTGGTTCTTCCACCCAGTGCTTCCTCCTCCTCCTCCTCACCCCGCAGCCTCCGCCACCACCCTCCCCTTGCAGTAGGTCCCAGCTCCCCCCACTACCTGCTCTGCCTTGAGGACACACACACACCAGAACCACTTCCAAAGTCTCAAGACCCATTTTTTCCAAACATCTTTTTCTGGACAGTTAGACCCTCATTTAAATCTGATAATGACACTGCCAGAAACTGTTAATAAGTTTGGGCACTGAGGCCCCAGGTAGTGGGAGTGTTCAAGTGTACTGCACTTAGTGTGCTCAGATTTTTCATTAATGCTCAGTTTTACTTTTATTGTGATGTTATTGCACATTTAACTGCCTTCCCCTTTTATGTATCTCATTATGTTGATGCACCTTGGAACAGCACTGCCGAGCAACAGCCTGTATAAATACAGCTTGTCGTGACGCCTCCCCAACACGACTCCCCGTACCGGGCCCACACGGGATTCAGCCCAGCAGAGGCTCAGCACCATGGCAGCCAGGCACAACCAGCTGGTGTGAGCACCCAGAGCTGTAAATGAGGGCTCACTTCAACCACAGCCTGCACAAACCAGGACAAGATGATGCTGCCAGTCCAATCTGACCGCTGGATTTCCCCACTCCAACACCGCAGAGCCTCAGGCAGCTCCTTCCCACTCCGAAGGAGATGCTGGGTTGGAAGCCAGACCCCACCACCTGAATGGCGTTTCTCAGCTAGTGGAGGGTGCCCCAGGGTGAAGAGGACAGGAGTGCTATGCATGTGCCACCAAGGAGCCGGGGTTTCTGCACACGGACATAGGTGATGGGAAGAAATCCCACGCAGAGAGAGCAGGGAGCTCAGCCCAGCAGGATGGAAACGCCTGGAGATTATGGATCTCACTTACGTGCAGTGATGTGTATCTGGCTACCCCTGCCAAGACGGCCGGAAGAGGAGAAGGGGCACAAAGCCTGGCTGGGTTGTGCGTTATCCCACAGTCGTGCATTTAGCTAACCCTAGTCGTCCCACAACACTCTGGCCCTGTGGCCTTCCTGGGTGCTGTGCCTGATCCTTGCTTTTTAGCTCAGTGCAGCTCTAGGACACGAGCTGCCATGCTGGCAGAAGGCAAGAGCCAGGCACTACAAGTCCTTATCCACCTACCTCAGCTTTACTTCCAGAAGATACTGGCTAATGGCAGGCACAGGACAACACACACATGAGGCACTAGCACTGCCTTGCACAGAGCATACTTCACGGGTTACCGTTCTCCTCCTCCCCATCACTCACTTAAAATCCTTGCCAATACCAGTGCACGGATTAATTTTGTGCACGTGAGCATTTGGAGATGTGCTTGGCCCTTATTTAACCAGGAGGGTTCCTAGGGAAAGGCAGCCCTCATGCCAAAGGAGCACAGGCGGGCGGGAGGCTGCAGGCGCCTCCCGCCATGGGCACACCGCTGCTGAGACAAGCCCTGATTCCGTAGGGCTCCTCTGGCACCTGCCACCCGCCAGCCGAGAAGGGACATGCCGTCTTGGAAATTCAAGTGTTTGCTGATGAAGCACAAATTAAGAGGCTGAACATCTGTTCTGTGGGAAATTCCAACAGTTAGGGGAGACTCATTCCAAATCACCACAAGGACAGCTAAAATCTTGATGTTTCTTACAAGGCAAATTCAAAACTCCAATTAGCAGCTCCTCAACAGATTTCCTTTCAACTTTTTCCTTTCATTTCACTTAAACTTGCATATTATACAATAGGATTTAATTGATTTTTTTTCTTCTAAGGCAATTTCAAACACTAGCCAAAAGCAGAAGAAAGAAACCCCAACAACACTAATTTCCCTCCCCCTCCCCACACCACCACTGAAAAATTTCATGGAAATCAACACTTTCCCCTTCAACTGCTGATTTCAATAAATGGTCAGGTTTGGCAGACTTTGCATGGCTAGCAGTTTTTGACCACAGATACCCACACAAACTAGAACCCTTTGGTTTGGCAGCAGGTGCTTCCTGGCTCTGCAGGAACTGTTCTGTCTCCTCTAGAACATTTTTGGGAATCTTTACTAGATTTGCTGAGGCCATGGGCTGGGGAGACCACACACCAAAGGTGGGACAGAGCAGCTAAAGAAAAGAGGACCAGAAAATGAGGCAGTAATTCAGAATGAGATAGGGTCAGGAACAAGGACAAAAGCCAGAAGCCTCTTTCAGCTTCCATGGAGTTATGTGTAAGACTTGCCTGTCTGTGCCAAGAAGCTCAAACCAAACCACATTTCCACCAAATCTTGTTCATACAGATTTCCTTCAGTATTATATGAAGGGCTAATTTTTACTTTGGGTAGTTCTGCTGAGGAAGGTGCTCGCCAAGGACAACAGGGCTGTTTGAATACAGTTAAATACGTGCTTATAGCATTTTCAAGCATCAGAATCAGTTCTATATACCAGCACTGGGAGAAAAATCTGTTTTCTCCACTTACCCAAGTGACTCTACTTTGCCAGCATGGCTCAGTTTTCTGGCACAGAGAATGCCCTCAAAATTGTGTGTGAGAGTACATGGACATCTGGTTTGTTATGGCTGCACTTATGGACTCAGGATGGACAACACAGCATGGAAAACAGCTTGGCACTGTTTTCCACCTCTGTCCTTCCATTCTTGTATTGTGTTTTTCTTGGGGAGCTCGATATAAGAGGTGGTGCTGCATTTTCCTTGTTCTTTGGCTCCTTCAGACTTAGACATGGATTGAGAAGCAGACCTGGTCATGAGGATTGTGGTTGACTTTCCTGATGGACAGAGGGGCTTTAACTGTTGGTGACGAACCCTGGTAGCCTGGAGACACTGAGCCAGGTCTAGGCAGGCAGTGCTGGGAGAGCAGCAGAAGGAACAACCTCTTTCCAGGACCAGTGCTCAACACCCTATTGCTGGGCAGGAAACATCTCTGGAGGATACAGGGAGGCTTTTGCAGAAGAGAAGGTTTCATCCTTCATACAGTTTAAGGGCTCTTCCAAACCTCCCCATAGCCAGAGCCTAGTGTGGTCATCCTGGCAGAACAGCTTGGAGCACCACCCTTCCCTGGGGCTCTTGCTAGTCCAGGCCCAGCACCAACCACAGGGACACACAAAATCTCAGCCAGGGCAAGGGCTTCATGAGCCAAACAGCTACGCAGCCTCTCTAATGACAAGGTTTCTGACCTGGCAGTCGTGGTTTCAGCAGCCAAGTAACAGAGCTCTTCAGATTTTAGCACAAGAGTTGCTCGTGGAGAGGACTGCCAGCCCCACAGTTGGGAGCAGAGCTGGTCGGACGGGGTCCCTCCGTGTGCTGACCATCTCGAGCAAAGGCAAGGAATGGAAACACAAGTGTGCCTCAGGAAAAGTAACACCCAGGCTCCTCCAGCCTGAACTGGTGGTCTTTGCAGAAGTTGCTTAAACAAAGTGCTATTCAGCTGTCACTTCCCACTCAGGAAGGCTCTGAAACAGCCAACGTCTTGATCTGAATACCTGCGGGGATCCCTGGTCCTCTGGGAAGAGGTGGGAGGATGCAGGCAGCATGCATTTAACTGCATGTAACCCAGTGAGGGTTTAGGAATGTTAATTGGATGGTAATGAGTCTCAAAGAAGGGGAAAAAAAAAAAAAAATCTCGTAGTAGGTCTTGCTGAAAGGAAACTGCATAGTATCCGTGAAGAAAAAAGGAGAATGCGAAACATTTCTAAGCTCAGGAAAGAGCGGTACAACTCCTCAGACTGACCCCTCTGACATAAGTTCAGGCTCACCCGATAGCTTCTGGCTCTTGCCTATGCAAGATGGAGCCCATAGGGCTGGTACGTGTTCACAGCAGCTCTGCACTTCCTTCCTCCATCTGTCCATTGCTCATTTCTTAATGGCACAGTTAGCAAACGCATTCATCACTAACTCTGCAGTTGCTGGTAGCCTCCACAGCTGAATCAAATGCAGATTTTCTAAGGAGCCTTGCTAACACTTTGCAGCTGGAATCCAGCAATACTTGAAGTTTACAGTTCTGTGGGCTCTGGATTTTGGCAGGTCTCTTTATAACCACATACCTAAAGGCATCATAAACATACCCTCTCCTCTCCAACACACGCAGTCTGTCCAATCTCCAGAGCATCGTAGCACAACACCACTCCTGCGAAACACAGCCTTCCTGTTGGAGGTGCAGTTTTGGCATGGGGCATTGGAAAAGCTTCCTTCTCCCCAGGACAGCAACATGCTCCAGCCCCTGCTCCTACTGAGGTGGGTTTGGGAACCAAAAACATGCTGGTACCTTCCAGACCAGCAAGGTACCCTAGTAACCATGTTAACATTGGGTATCTCCTAATTTGGCATACTGAGCCTGATCTTTTCAGAAAGCCTTATTCTAGAAACCATTAAATATTCTGAAATGCTTTCCTAGGAAA